TTCATTTCGTTGAGGGGGTATCGGTTCCCCTTGAATGGGTACCGATTCCCCTAACCCAGAAATTCTATTTTGAGCCCGGAAATCATCTCATTTCAACTCAAACATACATATTTCAATCCCTTTAATACTCTTAGCTCTCATACACTTAAAACTAATTATTATCCATTAATACCTCTAAAACCTAGAAATCTAATTCTCCATTTAGAATTTAAGAATCCAACCCAAATTCCAATATGTTCTAATTTGAATTCTAACACCTCATACTTCTTAGTTAGCTTCTTGACAAGTCAAAAATCTTATTCAAACTTCAAAAACTCATTCCTATCAAAATTTCATCTAAAAATTCATTTTCCAAATCATTCTCTAAAACACTTATCTTGTTGTTTTAATGTCATATAAGCTTTCCTTTAGCTTATATAACATCCAAGCTTTCATTTCCAATCTTAAAAATCAAAGAAACTACTAAGGTTCAGATTCTTACCTTTACTTGCAAGCTCCACGTTGAGAGAAGGAAGAGAAGAAAATAAGGAAGAAGGAAGAAGAAATGGGAGGGTTCTGGAACCTAATGTCACACGTGGGTTCTCATATAACCCCATAACATTTTATTTTAATTAAAATTTCCTTACAAATGACCATTTGGTTCTTACCTCCATCTCATATTTACTAACCATACTTTTTAAACTATATAATTATTCTACTTTAATCACCAAATGTTGAAACTTTGCAAATTAATCACTCACCCGACATGGAGGATGTTACAGTATGTCCCACTCAGAAGGATGTGGAATAGGGTAGACAATCTCGCCATAAGTCTGTCGATATACTTCTGTAGTGTAGCAATCCATAGCGTATGTGCTTGAATCATTTTGGTTTAGATGAAGAGAAACTTTTATAACATGGCCACAAAGATAACCAGATGTTTGTCATTTCATACAACTACACATCTTTGCATTTAGATCAACAAGCCCATTTAAGTTATTATCCAGTACTTCAAACAAAGTATTTGAACATGGTTCAACTCTCCATGACGTTGACTTCACAATACGTTTCGTTATCTTTTTTTCTGTCCATGATGTAACACGATGTTCCAATGTTCATTTAAATTTAAATAAATAATACTTAGTAAAATATATGATAAGTTACGAATTTAAAGAAATAATACCTGCATGGTTTTTTTTCTTGTAGTATCACTGTTGAATAGAGGCTCAAAAAAACTCCATTAACATAGTAATGGGTAATTTCCGGGAATGACGACTTAGAGCGTTGATTGATTCTGCACTATTAGACGTCATGAAACCATATCTTGCTCCAATTTGATGTACTCTTGACCATATTTCAAACCCGACATCTTCTAGTGTTTGAGCACACTGAGGCAAAACACGTCTTAAACAGTTTATATGCTTATTAAAATCCACTTCCCGATAAGCTTTTACAGCATTCCAGTATGTCCATTTGTGATTTTTTATACCAGCAGACCTTGATTTTAGATTTCTATACAAATGAACACCACAAAGTCCATGAAAAGCATCTGGGAAACACCTTCTAACAGTGTTGTCAATTGAGTTTGCCCTATCGGACATGATTGTCAGATTGCTAATATGACCTATGCAATCCCTAAGATGCCCCATAAACCATGTCCATGAATCAGAGGTTTCAGATTTGCCAAACCTGTAAGCTATTGGCAGTATCCCATTGTTAGCATCCATGGCTACTGCTAATAAGTTTACTCCAAGGTATTGACCTTTTAAATGTGCTCCGTCAACTATAATAGCTGGGCGCATGCAATTAATAAACGAACGAATCTACAAAATCATATACACAAGAAATATAATCATTTAAATGTGAAATGCATGTAACTAACAAAAATGAATCAACAAAATTATATTGATTTACTAACCGCAACACCAATGGCGATAAACAGCAAATCAAAGCGTCCATCTTTATCTGTTTTGATATGAGTTACCGACCCAAGATTTTTCAGCTTTAAATTGTGACAATAAGCTGGCAGTTGGGAAAACGATGCTTCTGGCGACCCCCTCAACAATTCCAAGGCATAACATTTGGCTCTCCAAGCTTGAGAATATGAGATACTAATCTTGAACCGAGCATTCATGTCAGTCATAATTTCATGTCCCCGATATACCCTACCATTCAAAAACATTAACTCAACCAGAAAACCACCCAACACCTTTTTGTTTGCTTGTCTATGGTGAGGAAAAACTTGGGTTCTTGAACATGTATGTTTATCAATAAAAGTCCTAACTTGAAACATTTCGCAATCTTTTATCCTCTTTGCAATCATACGCCACATACAGTTTTTGTCAATCATACACCTTGTTTCGAAACGATCTTTGATTGATTTGTTAACTTTTAGTTGATAGCCATCTTCCACACATTTCGTATACAAAGCTATCTTCAAGTCTTCCTTTGTATCAAAACAATCATCTTTCTTGATACGAATAATTTTTGTGTAACAATCAACTGCTATCTTTACAAACTCTTCTTCCGGTATCTGAAGTAATTCTGGCATATTCCAGTTATACTCCCGTGGCATTTTCTTCGGGGACTTTTCTTTGGGGATTTATTCTTCTTCTTCTTTTTCTTCTTCAGTGTTATATGAATTACAGAATGGATGTTCAACATGTTCATTTACAGTCGTAACTTCCTCCTCATTATCATCAACAACATATTCCTCGGCAACGGCTATTTCATCATCAAAATTCGGGTATTGACCAATATCAAAATCATTACACGCAGGGTCTGTTTCTTCTTCTAAAAAATCATCAAAATCCGAGTATTGACCAAGATCAAAGTCCGGGTATTAACCAAGATCAAATTTCGAATACTGACTAGTACTCACAATTTTTTCTGTTGGCTCATCATCGTCTAACTGGTCAATACGAAAACCGGAATTTGGTGCTGAAAGTTGATTGGGATTTGGATTAGCGAAAGGTTGTGGGTTTTGAGATTGTGTTTGGTATTGGAAATATGGTGAAATAATATTTTCTTGGTGATGAAATTATGGTGGAACCATTAAATTTTGAGCGCCATAAACTGGGGTTGAAAAACTTAGTTGATTACTACCCGCTACTGACCCAACTTCACTACTTCTAGGTTCAACAACATACAATGTAACATCATCACTTGAAACACTAATGTAAGCAATGAATCGTTCAACATCTTCATTGTCGGTTAACAAATAAACTTTACCATTTCTCTGATAAGATAGCCTAAATCCACTTAGGGGCTCTAAATTCAATTTATTTGCAACACGTAACATTAGAGTTTCATAAGTTAACTTTTTTAATAACAGTTTTAGTTGAAGATTCATGGGTAAATGCATATATTGTAAAACACCATGAACATTCTCCCATGACCCTCCAAAACACAAATCTATCCAAACATGATCAACATTAGATGATTTCATTATTGTAAATTAATTTACTAAACAAACGAGCTGCGAAACTAAAACATGTTGCCGGATGGGGAAGTATGTCATTGGATATAGGAACGGATATCGCCGGAGAGAGTGATAGATGGAGATGGAATGAGTTGCGATTTAGGGATTTAGGTTATGAGTTGCTGCTGCTGCGTAGTTATATACCCAAAACATTTGTGTTGCGAAATTAAAACCTGTTGCGAATTCAGAAATCGAGTTGCGAATTTGAAATTCAGTATTGCGATAGTCAGAATCTCGTTGCGATTTACAGATTCGCATTGCGATTTACGTATTCGCATTGCGAATCTGGAAACTGATTTGCGATACCGGAGATCGCGTTGCGAATTATCGATCGCATTGCGATTTAGTTGGTCATTTTGGCAAATCCAAAAAAAGTTGGTTAAAATCGTATATTATAAGGCATTTTTGGTCACTGAGGTTATTTTATCTATAAAATATTCTTTGTATACTATATAATAGTGATAAATTTTAATATGTTTAAGGAAATTTCATAGTAATTTGACAATTTTAATAATTATTTTATAATAATTTAATAAATTTAATGATCATTTTATAATTTTTAAAACCTAAGTAACTAAAAATGATTTTTTGTTTAGTTTGGTTATTATTGATGTACTTTATTCTTTTGTTGAAATCGACAATGGCAGTAACATGGATGTACAGTTGATCCAAATCAAATAGTTTTCAACTCAATTTTATAGGACCAAATCTTTTACAGATACAATTGAATTGAGTATGGTATGAGATGAAAATTTTGAATTGATTCAGATATAAGATAAAGAATTATCTGACTCATCTGGATAATAATAATATAATAGATTTTTATATATTTAAGAATAATTGTTATAATACATATATTTATATTTCTTAATTAAGTTACTATTTTACTTAATAAAAATAATATATGTATATGTAATTATAAAAATAAGTCAAATAAAGTGATAGATGAAATAATATTATATTAAGATGATGTTTAGGTGGGCCATAATCACAACCCATGATCATCCCAAAGCACAATTAAGGTTTTGAAGAAGAATTCTTTAGGCCCTATAAGCTTGAAGTCGGCCCGTGAAAAATGGTAGGTTTATGTTTTCTCTTGAAATTGCATCGCTTTAGAAGTTTTGAAATAAGATTATAGTTAGAGATATTACAAATACCGTTGTAAATATTTTTAATCCGTAATATTAAATACGTTGATCAATTAATCTAAGTTAAAATTATAAAAATATTTTATTTTATTATAAATATAATAATTTAAATATTAAATGTTCATAATATTATAATTTAAATCTGGTATACGAGTTCATAAATTTAATTTTTATACTTCAAATTGGTAAAATCTTATTTCTTATATATTTTTTAAATTATTGACTTAAAATATATAAAAACAAATACAATTAAATTAAAAAGATTTAAAATAATTTAATTTAAGAATAAAAGTTAAATCTATAGCCATACATAAGACTAAAAGGATCTGCAACAATTTCTCATAATACTTTGAAAGAAAAGGCCAGATTATCCATAGTTCATAGAAATCAAGTTCACAAACCAACTATTCCAAATATCCTCCACAATCTTCGTTTACATACATTGATGAAACTATATTTATATATGATGATACCTACTACTTTGCACCAAGTCTTCTGCTCCTCTCAAATTGGCATACCTAAGAGCTTCCGCATCCACCTCCGGTCTGGTGCAACATCGCGTCGATTTCATCTCCATCCTCCATCTCAAGCTAATCGGGTCACAAAAGAACAATATAAAATCGATTACCAAACACAACTATGATTCAAATCCTAGTGTTAATTTGGTTTCAATATTACTTAAATATATTTAGTTCGGATCAGTTTACATTCAACAAGTTAATCACTGATCGGATCAAAAGCCTGTTCATGAATTTATATAGCATCACGGAACCTTGAAATAACAGTAGCAGCCATCAAAGACAAGTAAAGCAACGCGTCAGAAACACGCAAGGGAGTTTACCTCATCGGGAGTCTGCTCTCCTCGGAGCCTCCGTCCATCGAACAAGAAGGCAATGGAGTTCGAATCTACTGATTGCCTATCGCAGTATGCATTCATCAGTTTCCTCAGTTGAGTGCCTCGCTTAATCCTGAAGAAAACTTCGTTTCCATCCTACAAACAAACGATCGAAGGATAAATAATAAAATCGAAGAAAATATAAATAAGAAAACGAAAGGGATGATCTAAATGACGTAAGAGTAAAAACCTGGCCCTTCACTTTGAGGTTAATATGAGCAGCATCTGTCGGCTTCTTATCCTCCTCCCCTCCTCCGACACCAACTCCACCACCTCCTGTCGCAGACATGTTCGCTTGCCACTCTTCTCTCTGCCTTCGGTTTCTCGTGTGCGAAACAAACCGTAGCGAATGGAGCTTTCAAATAGAAGCGAGAGCGTTGGTTCCACGCTATATATATATATATATAGAACTCTACTAAGTGGACCCCGGTTTTGTCAAATCAAACGCGCAGGTTCCTCGCGTAGTGGCAATGAGGTAATATTATTCAAAAAATATAAGCATCCCTCGTTGACGACGTGGGTGTGTTCTTATGGAGCGAGCTTTACCATACTGAATACTAGCTTGATTTGACAAAAGAAGCGCGTTGAATTAACTGGATTTGATAATGGTTTGGATTCCGGGTTGGGTGAATTGGAACGCCGTTGGAATTTTGTTATTGCTTTTTCTGGGGTGATCAGAGTGGACGGACAAGATTGATATTTTATGAAAAGGACGGTAGAAAGTCGGTTAGAAAATTATGTGTGGGGCAGTGTGAAAATTCGACGATTTTGCTTTGGTTGGTAATTTACGATGTCTCCTTTTTAGACGTGGAAAATACAAATGGGTAAACTATATGAATGGTCACATATATTTTCAGTCTGATCAATTTTGGTTATCTATTCAGAAAAATAATGGTTTTGGTCCATACATTTTTTGGTTCATTCGATTTTAGTCCCTTAATCGATAACTCTCAAACAAACAATATATTATTACATTTCTGCTTGACAAACTAAACAAGGTAATACAAAATTTTTTTAGTAATGTTACATTCTAGTAATTTATTCTCAAATGTAATCTTATATTCTGTTAACCAAACACCCTATAAGTATAAAGTACATAAATGATCCCTGATTTTAGGATGTTATTTTGTTGAGTCCATTCACTATTAAAAGTTATAAAATGATCCTCTGACTATAAGACATTACTTTGTTGAGTTCCTTAACTATTGAAACTTACAAAATGATCATCTGAATATTTATATATTCCAAAATCGCCTTTTACCGTTAAAAAATTAAGGTCGTCTAAACTGGATGTTAACCTTTTAATCGAGATATGATAAAACTATATTTGAATGATGTCTATTGACATCGTCATTGCTTTCAAGTACTGGCTCGACAACATAATGTATCAAACATTAGTTCAATGACATAATTCAAACATAAACTCGATCCATAAAATGTAACTTAAATAGTTTTAGGATCAAATTTTATCATATTCTAATGAATATGTTAACATCCAACTCAGACAATCGTCAATATTTTAATGAAAAATGATAAGTTTAGAATACATGAATAGTCAAGTGACTATTCTGTAACTTTTAATCTTCGGGGGCTCGACAAAGTAATACTCTATAACCAGGGGATTATTTATGTACTTTAGCCTAAAATTAAATATAAAACAAATTTGACGATTGGCTTGAATTTCATTTGTAGATAGGGTCGGATATTTTTCGTTATAATTTAAAATATGATATATTTATTTGTTTTTTACTTGTTTTGAAAAATAATATTATTATATTTATTTCAATTTTAGAATATAAATATGGAATGGTCATGAGTTGGGTCGTATCAAATCTTTTATCTAATCGATTTCATTGTAGTATTTTTGTAGTCATCAGTTAAACGTTTATTTTGAATAATTTCATTGAGTGATCTCAATAATTAAAGAGAATATTAAAGATGTGTGTACGTTGTCAATCGATAAGAAAAATTATGAACACACATACATTATGATCACCCAATAATATTAAAAAAACCTTATTTTAAACACATTTTATCACCACCTTTTTCGATAGGCAAGTTCCTTAGAAGGAGTTGCATGGAAACATCACTGGATTCTAGGGGTGTAAACGAGCTGAGTCGAGTTTGAGTATTGTTGAGCTCGACTCGACTCGAAAACTCTGAAATGAAGTTCGACTCAACTCGAAAACTCGCGAGCTTAAAATTTTCAAGCTCGACTCGAGCTTAAAATCCTGAACTGAAGCTCGTGAGCAGCTTGAAAAGGCTCGAAATGAAAAAAAAATTCTTAAACTTAACTCGATTAAAGCCTCAAACTCAAACTCGAACATGAACCTTAAATACATGAAATTTTACTATATTAAAAAAATCAATACATAAATATTAATATTATTATTAATTTATTTTAAAAAAAATAAAATCTTAATATATTATATTTTCGAGCTGCTGACTAATTTTTCGAGTCGAATATCGAGTAGCTCGTTTCAACTCGTTAAGAACTCGAGTCGAGCTCGAGATCGAGTCGAGTCCATTTGATCCGAGTATTTATCGAACTTTGATCGAGTCGATCTCGAATAGCTCGCGATCTGTCTCGTTTCATTTACATCCCTAGACTGGACCCAACAAACTTAGGCTGAGTAGGTTTCTGAACAATGTTTTGAATAAATTGACCAAATACTTTACAAGAGACACACAGCTTTGCATAAGACAGTGTCCACATTCACGATGTTTCCCCCAAAGAACACTGATCAGTTCATGCATAGAGCCAAACTTTGGCGATGAACTGCATAACAATGGCATGCTGCCAGAGACGAATTCCTTCATCTATTACCTAATTGGGTGGTTTAACAGTCATCTTCATCTGAGAGATCAGGAGGAAAGAAATCGAGAGTTTGAGATTCATTCCAGTAAAAAAAACCTTGAATCAAAACAAATAACGCTTTTTACGAAATGAGCTGCAAAATCCTTTTTAATGTATGAACGTAAGATCGAGGGAAAATAACTTAAGATGAAAGCGTTCCAAATTTTAAGTAATATAGTGGCCCCGGCGGGGCTCGAACCCGCGACCTTCGGCTCATAAGACCAACGCTCTAACCAACTGAGCTACGGGGCCATTGACATTACCAAACATTTTTAGTAAAATTTTGGTAGAAACTCTTTCAAATTTGTTCACTATGGGAGCTTCAAAACTCTCCTTAACATATCAAATTGTAAAGCATAATTGTCCCAAGTGAATTCGAGCCCGCCTCCTTCAACTCAAAAATATAACGTGCAGGACTTGCTTTCTTATAGACGAAGAGGTCACCGTAGACATAGGAATGATAATATGACAAAGTTATTTTTATTAAAAATAATACGAGATAATTATAAAATATTATTTGTTTATAATTTTTTAGTCATTGATAATATATAAACACTCTGCAGTTGCTTGATTCCAAAACCTTTAGAGATAATAATACTTCCCTCAATCTCCGAGACTGCATAATAAGTTTTAATACGATGAGCTTGTGAAAATATTTGTTAATGAAGTGGAGCTTAGTCCTTATTATTATTTTTCAAATGGATTCTTTTTCTAAATGTCTCTCATGAGTTAATTTTTAAACATGTTTTGATTTTAAAACACCCAAATGAAAATGTAAAGTACAATATTGTTTTCATTAAAGGGGTATTTAGTATATTATTAAATATTTAACTCAAATATTTCTCAAAAAACAATAAAATACACATTTAATATATTTTCACATACATGAGACGATATAAATAACATCCCACTCAATTGCAAACCGATAAATTATATTAAATTGAAATATTAACATGTGAGGGTGCATGATAGATATCTGGTTAGTGACAAATGAGATATATATAACAAGTTTGAGGATTTTATAACGAGAAAAATAAATTAATTGAGAAAAGAGAGAAAGGAAAAAGAAATCTTTTAGCAGTGATATTTAGTCGGAGAAGGCATCAATAATGACATAAATGATGATAAAGCTAGTGATGATTGTCGCTAGTAAAAAAGAAAAGTTTTTTTTAATATATAAAGAAATTAAAAAAATGAAATGCGTGCAAAAATATGTTTGTGTTTTTAAAATGAGAATTAAATTTACAAGTTTTGTAAATGTAAGGGGTTAATTTATTGAGTTATTTAAAATTATGATCAAACTAAAATAATATATATTATTAGGATTAAATGTATTGTTATTTTAATTAAAAGTATGTATGCCATCATTTTGGTTAACTATTTGATGGTTGATAATTTGATTGAACAATTTTGCTAACGTTAGTGCCTCAATTAAATTTTTTGTTTAGTGCCCAAAATGAAAATATAATTATAGTTTAGTGATTAAATAAGAAGTTTATCCTAAAAATCAAAGTTCAATTTCTTTATTTATTTATTTTTAGAGAAATAACAAACCATAAGTTGCTTCGAATAGCTGGTTTTTGGCCCACGGTAGCTGTCGATCCAGTGGGTAGCTGATGCGATACTCCTGCAGCTATATCCTTAGTATATTTTTTAAAAAAATAATCCACATGTTCAAACAATTTAATTCTATGTCCTAAATCAAAAGCTGTTTATTTTTTATATACAATTATTTAATTTATTAATTAATTAATTTAGATTAGATATTATAAAAATAAGTGTAATCTTTAATCTTACTCAAGAGATTTAATACATCATCTCACTAAATTAACTGATTTTTGATTAAATCATAAACTGTTTTAAAATTAGTAACAAGCATACTTACAATTTTATTAAATATTTTTTGAAAGTTAAAATTATTTCACCATTCTACGTATTATATATAAATTGTGAGTTTAATCCCTGTACTCTATAATCTTATACATTTTAAATGTTTAAATTTTAATTTTAATCTAATAAGTAATTTTAAATAAAGTTTTCCTACTGGTTTTACTATAATATATAAATTAATACATTAATTCATATTTTTCAGTTGAATTTTAGAAAATACATTAATGCAATTTAAATGTTTTTTTATCTGATTTGAAAGGATTAAATTAGCAAAAAAAAAAGTTTGGGCCTTCAATTGAGAGGCCAAAAAGATTAAATTTTAGCTTCTCATCTAAGCGAAAAAGACCAAGGAAAGTCACCTTTCTTACCATTTCTTTCCCTCTCCGAATCTAAAACCTCCGATCTTTCCTCTTTTTATTCGGTTCCATCTCTGCGGGAGAGGAGTTGTTTTTCGATGGGGCAACAGTCGTTGATCTACGCCTTCGTGGCGCGAGGCACGGTCGTTTTAGCCGACTACACGGAGTTCAGCGGTAACTTCACCGGCATAGCTTCTCAGTGTCTCCAGAAACTTCCTGCTTCAAATAACAAGTTCACTTACAACTGCGATGGCCACACTTTCAACTATCTCGTTGATAGCGGCTTCAGTAATCTTTCCTCTCTATCTCTCATTTTATTTTATTTTTATTTTCCGATTTAGTTTATCGATTTCTATGTGATCTGTTTTTTTTGGCTGCTGCTTTGATCCGACGCAGATTTTTTTGGCCTCGTTGTTATTTATAGAATCAGTTGGGTTCTTTCTATTTTAGGAATATAGATGACATAACTTTAGTAATTGGAACTTTAGAAATTTGAGTTTATCTAAAATATGGAATCTTTTGCCGATTAAATCAATTAAACCCGCGTAGAAATATCGTGATTATTAAGGCTTTCTTAGCTACATATTGAAGCAAATAGCAGTGGGTCGCATTTCGAGACAAGAACAAATGCTAGCATTTTTGGATAATTGAAAACTAAAAACTTGAAAGATTTTAGGCAACCGAAATGCCATGATTACACTTTTATATGAACTATTGTCTATAAATGCGTGCAAAAAATTAATCATAATTTGCACATTCTTAACTAAATATGATTTTAATTTTTCACTTTTGCTTGCCTCTAGTGGCCTGAACAGGTTAGACTAGAGTTTTGGATTTCTTTCAAAAGCCCCACCAGAATCAAATTGTTATAATTGATTTCACATTTGAAAGAAAAAGTTTTATTGCGTGTTCGGGGTGTGTCACTGTCCAGCTATTTCATGATCATGTTTTTACCATGCTCGACTTTCTTTGTACTTTTTTGATGTGTCCTTATTTGTTCTATGTGAAATTTTCCGCGTCAAACATGCATTTGATACTTGGACACTCCTTTAGCAGAAGTGTCTTTGCTTCATAGCTTGTAGAAGAAGAATGGGCGGTTTGGTCCATTAATGTTTTGTTCATACATTGAAAGACTGAGCCTAGGCATTCATTTCAACTGGTACATTTGGTTCTCACATTATTTTTCCTGTTGCTTCACAACTCGTGTGTTGGGTTGCATCCTTTATCATGAACTCAAGGTTACTTCATTATTTGTTTGAATTGACCTCCTTCCTCTTTGCAGCTTATTGTGTGGTTGCTATTGAATCTGTTGGCCGACAGGTTCCTATGGCATTTCTTGAGAGAATTAAAGAGGATTTTACCAAGAGATATGGTGGAGGAAAAGCTGCAGCTGCTCCTGCAAACAGCTTGAGCAAGGAGTTTGGGTATTTCTTTTCCTTGACCTTAAAGAGTAATGTTATTTGGACTTGAGTTTGGGTGTCAGATGCTAGTATGTGTCCGTTACGGGCATGTTCAATTTATTTTTCGTTCCAAAATCCAGGTGTCTGGAGGATCCTTCCCTTCTTGGAGGGTCATATTCTTGTACCCATGTCCATATGTACCGGATACGTTGGACGCAAGTATTGCTTGAAAATGAAGAGTTGGAGCAATATAGTTAAAGAGAAAGCCTTTTTTTGTGTGTTATCAAGTACATTGATAGCTACATTTATTATATCGTTAATCTAGGCCAAAACTGAAGGAGCATATGCAGTATTGCATTGATCATCCTGAAGAGATTAGTAAGATTGCCAAGGTGAAAGCTCAAGTTTCAGAAGTCAAAGGAGTTATGATGGAAAATATCGAGAAGGTAATTATTGACTTATTGACATCTTTCATATTTTTTTATGTACATCCTAACATAGACTATCGAGTGGTGTGAGGGTTTTAAGTGAAAAAATCTGGCTTGACAAAAGTACGGACAATGATAATAAAGTGTTTGTGATATTCTTATCTTTTTTTTCCTTTTTCTGTTACCATTTATTTTGCAGGTTCTGGACCGTGGCGAGAAAATTGAGCTTCTGGTGGATAAAACAGAAAACCTTCGCTACCAGGTCAGCGGACGAATATCATATTGTTCTACTTTAAGCAATATTTTCACTATGGATAGAACCATAAATGGGGCATTGTTTAGGTTTGTTTGGTGACTCCTGTTAAAACTGTGCTAACCTCTTACAAATCAGCATATATTTTAAAATTTTGTTTTGAATAGTCAGCATCATTAGGTAACTCCTTTGTTTTCTGAATCTTCACTAGGAATTAGATCATACATGGGCTTGTTACTTGGACTTGGGTGTAAGTTTAAGATACGTGGATGTTCAATTTTTCTGAAAGTTTATATATATAATGGGTCCTCGAAAGGTTATATCTCATACTCATATCCGGAATTGTGTGGGGAATTGGTAATTTAAGAAAAATGAAAAGTTGAAACAACATAACATGTAGGGCAGTCATTGGTTTGTTATTTGACTAATTGGTAAGATGCGAAAACAAAGCTGTTAATATTATCATCACAGGGCAACTCCAGGGTAAGAATTTTAAGTTAAATGTGGGATCCATGAGGATCAGAGGTGCATTTCTTTCATTTTAAAAGTTTTAATCAATACTAGTTCTCAAATATTCAGGAGCTAGCTGAATAGTTCAATTAGTAAACCTGAATATTTCTTACATGATTATCCTACCGGTACTTAAAAAGTATAGGTTATAGATAATGAGGGTATTTGTTTGTTTTTTGGGCATTGTAGGCACAAGATTTCCGGCAGCAGGGAACCCAGATGAGGAGAAAGATGTGGTTACAAAACATGAAGATAAAGCTGATAGTTCTCGGAATCCTGATTGCTTTGATTCTCATCATTGTACTGTCCGTTTGCCATGGCTTCAAATGTTGATGAATTGCTCGTCAGCTCTATATTCCACTGCTGGCTCATAGACCGGAATCGCTGCAGTAACTAGTAATGTATGATGCTCCTAGGCTTCTTTTTTTTTTTTTTGATTTGAATTACACGTGCTTAATGATATAGCCTTATTTCAGAAGACTGTGTGCATGTAGAATGTAGGTTTGTATTTTGGATTCTTTTCAGCAGTATGTTGATGTGTGGATACATGATATGTTGGAAAATTAAAAAGAAAAATTGGTGCTCAAGAATACGAAGGAAGCGTTTTCGAGTTATGTTCGTAGACAGATTCGAGCTTGAGCTGGAATTATTTAATTCCAATATATCAAATAGTATTCGAGTTATTCGAGTTAGAGAAATTGATGGTCATATGGGGAAGTATCAAGTTCGAGCCTGTAAAGGCGTACAAGCCATTGAATGGATGGACAAGCAGGCTAACACTATTTAGTGTTATGAATAACGGGGAGTGGAAAAACGAACATTTCATTTAGTGTTATGATATTTATTTTGAAATATCAGGAAGATTAAAAAATATTGACTTTCAATTTATTGATTTTTTTATAAGTTATCAATTGATATTTAAAATAAATATAAAAAATTAACGGCCGCACAATCTAATTATTAAAATTACTTAAAAAATTATAAAATTTTAAAAATAACTAACAACTAAATCATAATAACATTTACAACCCATTTATACTTTTAAATTTGATAATATTTTTCTAAAGAAATATTTAAAAAACTAATTTCACCTAAATAATGTATGTCATTAAGGAAAAATTATCTCATACATTGATAGCGAGGTTGAAAGACTCTACAAGTAGAGTTGTAGAACGAGTTATATGTGAATATATAGTAAAAAAAGTAAAAATAAATAAATAAATAAATAAAATGATATATGATTATTTGACTATTACTTGTAAAATTATAATTTTTCACTGTGAGTGTATTAAATATTAACTTACGTTTTTAAGGTGATTATAAAATAATATTTGTTTTAAAGATTCACAATCATTTAATAATGAAAGCTCAAATACCCTTATAATATATGATACTCTTAGACTTCTAAGGATAACAACCATTTCTTTATAATACTATTAGACTAAAAATTTTGAAATAGAAAATAAATTATCCTATAGCCCTTATACCTTCGTCCTTGATTATAATATTTATACTACTGGATAATTAGCTGCAAAATTTGTGTTAATCATTAGATGAATAATTTCTGTAACAACTGAAAAACTAAAATGTTTGGCTTCCATTTTCGAACTCTCCATATTCCTTTTTTAAGCTAGTTATGTTGCTAATTTGCTATCAAACATCACTTAAGTTACATGCACATTTAATTCCCTCAGAACCCTTCAATTCCTTGCATGCAAACGACTTACATAAATTGCATTTATACAATTCCACCACTCCAAGATTTAGCTATAAAATCAAAGGCAAATCCGAGCGTTCTTACCTGAAAATATTGAGATATGCATCTTCAAACAATGCCATCCTCCAATGGCTTCCTCCTTGTCGTTGCATTCGCCATCCTTTTCATCGCGCATGGACAGGGGTTGCCTCCGGAGTTCACGAGATGGTATGTTCACGTAGTTAACGGATTGAGCAATGGTCGAACGTTGTTCGTCCATTGCAATTCCAAGGACGACGATTTAGGCGGCCGGAATCTAGATCCCGAAACCGATTTCAATTGGAGTTTTCGACAACATGTTTTGCGTCGAACCCTCTTCTGGTGCTACGTGAGCAAGGACGGGGCTCACGCGTCGTTCAAGGTCTTCTGGCAAGACGTGCTTTTGTTCCACAAGTGTGCATGGAAAGACTGCATTTGGATTGCCAAGGATGACGGCGTTTACATCAAAGATCTTGCTAGAAATACCGACGAGTTTCGCCGGAGATGGAAACCGTGATTGCTCTGAGACTGAGTTTCAGTATGTGAACATCTTTATTAGGTTTTCTTTATGTTTGTTGTTAGAATTGCTCGTCTAGCTCAATTGGTAGAGCGCAAGGTTTTTAACCTTGTGGTCGTGGGATCGGGCAATTCATAATGGATGTCTTTCACGGAAGCTGTTTTCAACCTGGCGTTAGGGACAAACTACTACTCTATCTTCCCCTTACCTCATTACATATGGGAATAGGGTCAATTAATTTTTATGTTTGTTGTTCCTATCAAAATACGACCAATTATGACATGTTCAACTTTAAAAATATGTATTGCAAATATATAATTCCAATCTTTTTCGTATTATATTAAGAGTTAATTGCATTATATACTTTCAAAATTTGACTCTCATTTTAAATTTATCTATAACTTTTTTAACATTTTAATTTTATTTCTAAATTACGACTTTCGTTCTAAATTGGATCATAAACTTTTTAACATTCTAAATTCATCCTTAAATTATGATATTGATTCTATATTGATCCCCAAACTTTTGATTATTATAATTTCATCCCTAAACATTTGAATGATTTAAGGAGATATTATTGGAATGCTCAAATGTTTGGGGATCAATTTAGAATGAGAGTCATAGTTTGAGGATGAATTTGGAATGTTCGAATGTTTGGAGACCAATTTAGAATGAATCACAGATTATGGATGAATTTAAAATGTTTAAAAATTTAAAGACCAATTTAAAATAAAGATAGAGATGAATGATACATTTAACTCTTATACTAATAGTATTAATTAATTTTGTGAAACTTCCACTTGCTTTTGCTCTATAAAAAGGACAGAAGGGCACAAGAAAATTGATCGTATGAACACTTTACAGCAAAAGGAAAATATTTCTATCAAATATGAATCCCTCCCCAAATGTTACCAAATTCTTGCTGGAATACTTGAAATATTTGGTGATAATGTAGCCATTTAACTCTGCATATGACAATCTTGAATCTGAATAGCAAATGACTAATGGTTGAATACGTATGCAGTTCGTGATTATACATGCTATTTCTTTCAGATATGCTTCCAAATAAGTTTTTTAGAACTTTTAACGAGAATAAAGAGTTCGATCAACATAACTTTCGTGTACTAGAATGCAGTAACTTCAAGTTGACACCGACTTATATTTCCCCTCGTAACTTTCATGTGATGCCATGACTTCTATATAACTGTTTCCTACATCATGCCATTGAATTCTGTATTACAGTTCGGATTGCAGAGTGGCGATAAATATAATTCATTGAAATAGAATGCCATCTGCAAGTTTGAAGTTGAAGTAGAACGCTGATCAAAGAGCCCGCTCCATCTCACAGGCGGCAGTGTCTTCCGTATTTCAAACCGATCAAGTACATATCATCGCACTCCTTTAGATTCTTGGCATTTCCAAACGAAGTTTGAAGTTGCGTATAGGTAGTTGGACTCGTTCGTGTGTATAATCGTGTTTATGAAACGATTCTAATGATTGAATCTGGTGATACTGGTCGAATACTGTACTCTTGTTGTCATTTGAAATGATTTGTTTGACTGAATGTTGTATAAAGGGTGTTGATTTCATTTCCTTTTCCCATCTTCATCAACCCTATTGTTTCCCTGGGGCTTTGACTTGTGTTGCCTCTTGAAGAATGAACCGGTGACTCGTAAGAATTAGCTCCGCGCGGTGGAAGAATATAGAAAATATTAGGCTAAACTACACTCTAGTCACGAACCTATTGTTTCTTTTCAATTATGGTCACCGTACTAATTTTTTTACAGAAACATCACCAACATTATATATTTTTCTATTTTAGTCATCGACCACTAAATATTTAACAGCATGGACGGACATTCATGGAGTCAAGAGAAGACTTGGCTCTCGCCAATTTTTTTAAGTATTAATATATATATATATATTAAAAAATAAATAAGAAAAAGTTTAACTCTCCCTATTGAATAGTGACGTTGATATAATTTTTTTTCTCAAAATTCTACGTCATTTTATCTCTCTTCGTCAACAGCCTACGTATTGTTTTTCTAATTTTTTCATATCCAATTGAATCCTCAAATAGGATAATTAAATCAATTAAATCTTCAAACTAAGAAATTGAATTAATTAAAATTTTAAACTAATTTTCACCGTTAAGTCATATTCTTTTAGGATATTTCTGTCATTTAACAACATTACCACACAACATGTGTACTAAAGGATGAAAAAACAATTAAATTTAATAGTTATTAAAATATTTTTTCATACTAATAATAAATTTTAATATTTTTAAGATGGTTGAAAGAGAAAAATGAAGACATGGATTAGAGTACAAAATTTGGATTACATTATCCAAACAAATAAGATATGGTGCATACGTGGCAACTTCCTAGTGGTTGAACAACTTTCCACACCCTCAAAATATCAGATAAACCATTGATGAACAAGAATCCAATAAGTTCAAGGCCTCTCAATCATTGTTCCTTCATTTGCTTAAAACCATTGAACAACACAGTTTCAACCTTTCCATCAGTTTACAACACAGAGAGACAATGGCCAGCTGCGGCGGCATCGGCATGGCATCGGCTGCCTCGAGGCTGCTATTAACTCCCAATGTCACGGCCACTGCAATGGCCAACATCAACATGACCTTTTTCCCTTCCAAAATCAACAACAACAATAATTTACGGCTCGTCGTTAGGGCAGCCGAGGAGGCTTCGGCAGCAGAGCCAGCACCAGCGCCGGCAACCGCCACGGCGGAACCAGACGGCGGTGAAGCACCTAAGCCTAAGCCACCACCCATTGGACCAAAAAGAGGAACCAAGGTTAGCTTCCACCCCATAATGACAACATTTAATGTCAGACAATATGTCTAATACGAATATGTTTAATTTACGACCCTAATTTAAATCCGAGAAATAAATTTTGAATAGATTTTGATCTCTTGTAGGTGAAGATTCTCAGGAAGGAATCATACTGGTACAATAGCTATGGATCAGTTGTTACAGTTGATCAGGTGATTGATTCGAATTATAATTTTATTAAATAATGTTTTTATTTAAAAATAAAATCATTAAACTTTGAATTCGACCAGGATCCCAAGACTCGCTACCCCGTAGTGGTTCGATTCAACAAAGTTAATTACGCAAATGTATCGACCAACAACTATGCATTGGATGAGATTGAAGAAGTTAAATGATCTCACTTGGCATGTTGTAATTTTATGATGTATCATATTGGACCGTATTGATATATTTCGACATGTTCATGTATTCATGTTATTTTAATTACATCGAGAGGAAATGGACTCGACTCGAAATTCTTTGCCCTATATAAAAGGATCTATTTGCCTGTAGTAGGGGTCAAGTAAAGTTTAAACAACTCTGCTATGGCAATGTTAATACTCAGGATTGTTGGGCACCGTCTCGATTTACTTCACATCAAACGTAGTTGACATGTCGGAGCTCGTTACATGAAGGTCGCCAAGAGTGGATCTGTTCGGTATGGAAGGCCGGTCCGGGCGTGTAAAGATGTGCAGCAGATTAACAGAGAGTAAATTTGTTTACCACTTGAGCAGCGAATGGTAACATCTTCTCCGGTGGCATGCCTGCACAGAGAGTTAAAAGAACGGAAAAAGAAAAAGATTATAATCGACCCCCTATAAAATGATATACACATTGCAGACACGGCTGCACAAACCCAAGACTTCTAGAAAAAATAACATTCTCTTTTACTACGGAGAGACCACTTGATGGGATGTGCTTTCACTTGAATCCATAGAGAACTTTAATCATTTTATGTCTTTCCGCTGGATTGCATCAGCAAGACAACATCCTGGTTTCTACCTTCAGTTTTTTCTTTAACATTAGCAATACTATCATTTTATAAGATTGTGGCTTGCATCCATGCACAAAAAGAGAATGTAAATGAATACTATTGTAAATAAAAGGACCTCAAGAGCTGCTCAAAGGTGGACTTAAGCCATCGAAGGCACTCTACAGAAGATTTATGTTGCACGGATACTGTAATTCAATGCCGTTTCAAGTACCCAATGCGTCCCAGAGATGGATATGAAACGGGTACAACTTCAGTATGTAATTGGGATGTCTCATATTGAAGGAGTATGACTAGTATTAATTAAATACGTTAAAGAGATTTCCGAGGATGTAGATGTCTGATCATCGCGAATAATAATTAGGTGATTTAAAAAAATAGTTAACCAAAATAAAATCTCATGAATAATCGAGTGACTAGATACATAACTTATTCTTTTTTTTTTCTTTCCGAATTGACCTTTCCGATGCTCGGTAATATTTCACTTGTCTTCAGTTCATTTAATTTAGGGGTAAAAGATTACCTCTGACTTATTCAACTAAATATTAACTTCTATTTAATTTTATTTGATAAGATGAAAAGATATATATATATATATATATATGTCGAAACGATTTTTCTTAAAAGTGAAAAGGTGAGGTTTTGAAAATCATATCAATTTTTGAATTATTATCTTCCAAATGATTAAAAAAAATGCAGTTTAAAAGACTTCTCGTTTCGAAAAATTTTGAATTTTCTTTACGATCGAAAAATACGGTTCGAAGAGTCGCCACCAATCTTTGATTAGGGTGTGATTGGGCACCAAAAAACGTTTCGTCATTTTAAATAAAAATTAATTTTAATTAAAACAACAAATAGAGGTCTGCGTTACCAAAAAATGAGTTCGGGAGTCGATTACGTGTGGGGAAGGATTAGCACCCCCACAACGCCCTAAATCGGTACCTAATCGATTAATTAACGTCTTTGCAATGAACTTTACAAATTCGGATTTATTTTGATTTTTGATCCCATAAAATAAAAATGTAAATTTAAAACATTCAAAAGCACTCAAATAAATTAAATTAAAATTACCGAGTCGTTTTAGAAAGATAAAGAATGTTCGATTATTTACAAATATCGAGACCAGATCTTAAAAGTTATAACAACCTTTTCTCGATAAATTTAAATAAACGAACATTTCCTTTTCTTTCGTTCCCAAATTTTAGGTGACGAATCAATTTTTTTGTTTCACTTTCGGGATACACTTTTATTTTAAAATCATTAAAAGCAGACCTCAAATCAGTTATGACTGCCTACTTCAACAATTTTAAATTAAAAGGATATTACCCTTAGTTAAATTATGTAACATGTCGAGTTATGCAAATGAAGATATCATACAAATTGTGCAAATCGTATGTCATGCCAGAAATTAATTAAATAAAATTACAAATATCATACAATGTGACATGCAAAAATTATATACATATGTTTTAATTAAAAATCATAAATTATGCATATTGACATATTATGAACACATGTGACCTAAATACAAAAACAAAAGCATAACATGCTAAACTATAAATTTAAAAAATGTATATATACCTGTTAAAATAAGGACTAAATTTAAAAAATGTAAAATTCAGCATACTACATAAATTCAAACCATTTTAACATGAAGGACAAATAATTCAGACCCTAAGTTGCTAATAAACCATGAGCATGCATAGGACTGAAATAAAAGAACATAAAATAACATATCAAATACATAAACTATACGAAGTACAAACAAATAAACTAGCCTAATCTAATGTAAACTAAAAGGAAATGAAGCGTAAATTAAAAATATATATGTATATATCACTAATTAAAACAAGGGTTAAAACGAAAATGCTAGTTATGAGGGCCTAAACCTAATCTATCCTTAAGGTCACGGTGGCTAACAATAATTAACCCTAAGGTTTTAATATATAACCTAACTAACCTAATCTAATGTAAACTAAACTTACAGCCGCATCAAACTCCTTTCTTCTTCTACTCTCCCCTCACGCTCACACCAGAGAAAAAAACTACTGCCGCTTCTTGAAGGAAATAAGAGAGACCCAAAGCGTATATTTTCGTAAGAGAGAAAAGGATTCGACTTTGGGCTACTAGCAGGAGACTAAGGAAGCGCCTTCTTTAGAAAATTTTAAGAAACCGTTTTGTGGAATGAAGCCAGAAGACGATGGAGGGAGTAGGTTATGCGAATTGTTGGAGTTGGAGCTGTTGGGTCTTGAGATTGGTTCAAGGGAGTAGAGAAAGTGCTCGAAGAAAGTCCCAAGCAAGCTTTGGCCTTGAACACAAGGGACTACAAAAGGATTTCAGGACTAATGGCCAAACGTAACAAATCCATGTCAGGCAAAACGAAGCAAACCAAGATTAAGGTAAACATTTAAGCTATCTCATTTACACTTATGCTAGTTTCAAATAAGGAACAATAAAAATGAAATAAAATAAAGTTTCAGAAGACGAATTAGAGAAGGACCTTGGAAATTTACTTACTTATACTCGAATGCTAAAAAAATTGACTTGTTTCTATTGCTTGCTTCCAACGAACAGGGCCAAGGAAATCCCTTTGTGACAACACTGTTTGATTTTGAATGAGAAAGAAATTTTTACACCAATGTTCTTTTCTCTTTGATCTATTGTGTTAAAAAAAAACCAATGAAATCTCTGTTTTTCTCGTAATGGTCGTTCTCTGCTTCAATCTTCTTGCTCGTTTCCTTAGTTCATTCCCCCCTTTTTTTTCTCTCGTTCCCTCTGTAATCTTGTCCGTGTTCTTTTTTGCTCTGTCATCCCACCTCCTTTTGATGATGAGTGGTTATCCTTTTTTATGGATATCCCCACGTCCCTCATTTGTTGCAGGTATCTCCAAACGGTTGCACAGGACTCGTCTGGCATCTGTTGGATAAACTGCTGAAGATTTTGGTGATGTCTCCACCCTTGAGCCTACACTTGTGGGTTAGTCATGTCTTGGGCTCCGACCAAATGGGTTTGCTCTGATTCGGGCCCCTATTTGGGTCATAAATGTAATCTTCGGCTCGAATAAAGCTCGGACAAAATGAGCGTCTACAATATATAAATGTTAAAATAGATATTTAAGTCAAATTTGAGATTTGATATCCTAAATCCAACTTCGACCAGTCGAGACTGACCAACATCCATGAGAAGATCAATAAGGCCATTTTTGGTTCGTTTTAGAATAAAATTAACGTTACGCTAAGAAAGAATTACATAAATTATTACAACTTTGCAAACATAAGTAATCCCAATCAGATGAGATCAGATCGAACCGGACAAGTAGTTTGACTCGAATATAGTAGACTAGATTTATTAAAATATCATACATAGGTTTTGGAAGGCAAGGACACGAGACAGATTATGCCGCCTCCTCTAACTCTTCAAACAAAGGAAACCATAACTTAGGAAATTGAAACTACTGGGAATCATACATTCAATATGATTGAATGAACTAATTAAACTAAGTTCTGAGGTCCAAGTTCCCCTCTGCAAAGCAGCAACCTACGGATCACTTCTCTTTCAGGGTCTGCTGCTGTCGTGTAAGGAACAGATTACTTCTTTAGAGTGTGCACAAGCAAATGCAAATCCGCTATGCGCGAGTTTGATGATCCCAAGCGTTTTCAATATCAAAGAAAAGCATACCAGTATCGAAAGATATATGACCAAGAGGAGACGGTGCATTAAGAGACCCTTCTGGAGTACAATGGCTATCCAAAAGGATGCTCTCGAGCTCATTGTAATAGGAGTTATCTCCCTCGTTTACTTTGAATGGTTCTTCTCCCATTGTGGTCCCTGAGGTGTGCTGTAAATAATCAGCAGGAGGTTGCTGATTACTTTGACCGATGTCCTCCACCCAACTAATGTCAAGACCTGAGAAACCATCATGTGTTGCCAGACGATTTCGATTCTGAACTTGATTGATATCTTCATGTACATTTGACTGAGGAACATGCCAATTGTTTCCTGAGGATAAAGATGGTGCTGAGTTCATAAAAACACAATCCGTACTCGGCCGTGAGGAGATCTGGTGTGTATATGTTTCTAAACTTGTGTTTGAACAATTTTTTGGCCAGTCAATAGGATTTGTGTTCCCTTCGTTTGATGTTGTAACTGAAGCAGGATTTTGTTGATACCTTGATGCACGAACAGAAGAAATATCTTCAGATGGAACATATGGGGCGTGGTACACTGTTGAGGAAACTTCCGTGTCAAGTCTTTTGGACATTGTGTTGGAAGAGACAAATTGGGAACTCAAGTTCCCAATCTTAATGCCCCGATCCCTTCGAATTACAGTATTACGCACGCCTAGAACCTCCTGCGAAACTGAACGTGACTGAACCATGCTTTTATTTCGAACATGTCGACCACCCACACTTGTGTTATATGGAATCCCATGTCTGGTGGATGAGGAACAAGCACGGATTGTGGATGGCCTCGAGACATGATTTTGTGGTATGCAGCTCCCAGAGGCTTGAACTGGAGTTGGTCTAGAAACATGATTTTGTGGTATGCAGCTCCCAGAAGCTTGAACTGGAGATGGTCTAGAAACATGATTTTGTGATGCCAATAGAATAATGTCACGACATGGCACTACTGTAGAAGGAGAAATGACAGTAGGAGTTGGTCTAGAAACATGATTTTGTGTTGTCAATCGAATAATGTCTTGGCGTGGCGCTTGGTTAAGTTGGGGCACTACTGTAGAATGAGAGGTGACAGGATGTGCAGAAACATTTCTCCCAAGCCTGAAATTCTTCCGCAGAGTCTTCCAAATCTCCTCTTTATCAGTGGCATGACAATGATCGGTATTAGAGATACCCGAGCCCCAATAAAAACATGGTGCTCGCATGTCGCAAACAAAGCAATGGCACTACAATTTAAAAAAGAACATTCATAGCTCACGTTTAAAATGGATGCTAAATTCAAGGGCACCACAAACTCAGAAAGAGAGCAATAATCATGAATCTCAAAATTAAAAAGTTGCAAAAGTATACCAGTTCACAATGTTGTTCTGTGAGTTTGAACTGAAAGGAAATTTAGAATTTAAAAAAGAACATTCATAGCTCACGTTTAAAATGGATGCTAAATTCAAGGGCACCACAAACTCAGAAAGAGAGCAATAATCATGAATCTCAAAATTAAAAAGTTGCAAAAGTATTACCAGTTCACAATGTTGTTCATGTGAGTTTGAACTGAAAGGAAATTTAGCACAATCATGCCGTGGATGGGGGAAATCTCTGCATGCGATCTGCAAACAGATAATATAGAAAAATGAGACAGCCATTAGAAATTTCATGCCTGTGAGAAAAACAGTCTGGAACACGTGAGCAAAACGAAAAAGAGAGTAGGTTTTCAACATTAAATGTAAACATGTAAGATGGCAATCAGTATGTAAATGCCCCTGATGATCTTCCCTCAAAATTTCTTGGGAAAGCTAGTGATCTTCCCTTTCTCCAAAAAAAATAGTGAACCAGCTCTCACAAGTGGAAAAGAGTAGGACACATTTTCTCGCTGCAACAGATGATTATAATTTTTCAAAACTCAATTCTTACCTTCTTGCCGTCCAAGTTGACACTTACACCACAACATACCGATGATCCCATGACGATGGAGCTTCAACTGGTTGAAAGGGCATCGCTAAATGGCGTGAACACACAAAATCGCAGGAGCTAGAAGACATATTACTAAAAGGAAAAAATCTAGAACCACAACAAAACACACAAAACAACTATTCAAAAAATGCCAAAAAAACATAACACAAATAAATTTTAGCATTCACTTTTAAGAACCCAGATATCTCAATACCCGTTTCCGATCATAAATTTGGACACAGTACGAACACAGCTGTCCTTCTCATCGCAAGGACATAAAGATGTGATAAACATGATATCAACAATAAATACTAAGAATCAAGACAATCAACTAATTTCTATTTCTCCATATTCCCTTCCTTAGCATATACACCAATAAAAAATTTCAATAGGAGCTACTTGAAACTAGATAGAAATGCCATTGCTCTAATTTTCTCGGAAAACAAACAGAGAAAAACAAGCACCATCGATGAATTCAGGCACAAAAACCAATCAAAATAAAAGTTTTATACAAGAAAATAGTGATTAAAAATTTCGGTATTCACCTGCCCTTTTTGACCAACAACGAGCAACTCATCAGAATCTTCATGGTTATCATTAACATCGGACACCACCTTTTCTGGGTCCCCTTCTAAAACGATACAATCATCGTCTTCTACATTAAAATCCTTCTCGACCGATAAGTTCCGTGATTTTGACTTCTTATTAGGGTTAACTTCCCCGACCACCACCACCTCATCTGAATCGTCGAATCCCTTGTTAACGGCTTTCAGAACTTCTGAAAACCAGTCGTAGTCGTCCCCTTTAGGCTCTTCCAGATCCGACGTCACCTCTTCCTCGTCGGAGCTTATATAAAAAACCACAGGATTTGAGCCCATCACCAAAAAAAACACAATACAGTATAAATAAATAATCTAGGGTTTCTAATTTTGTTTTCAAATGAAGTAAATTATAGTAACATTATTTATGGGAAATGTGAAGATTCTGTAATCTGAAGTAAACAAAGAAGAAGAAGAAGCATAGATCAAAACTGAAATTATGGTTTGAAACCATCAAACGAGTTTGAAGAGCAAGAATAAGAAAACAAAACTAAATGAGACGGAAACTGAGAAAAAGGGCAGGTATAATGGAATTTGCACAAAAAACAATTGCTTTCTTGATGAAATTCTAAGGGAGCTTTGAATTTACCTTTAATTTTTAATTTGATATATATATTATTTATTTGGGTAAAGTATAGTAATGGTTACTGAACTTTTCTAAAGCTTTCATTTAGGTCCTTCAACGTTTAAAACTTATAATACAGTCCTTCAATATATATTCCGTTTGCAATATGGTCCCGACGTTACACTGTCGTTAGTACGTATGCAATATGGTCACTGAACTTTTCAAACACTTGCATTTAGGTCCCCTAACTTTTAAAACTTACAACACAATCCTCATTTTCATTCTAAACCCCAAATTCCTTTTTGATCTCGAATTTCCTTTATAAAAGTTTTTTAATCAAAGGAGATATATCTATTCAATGTGCATTTACTTATTTTATTGTGTTTGTTTATATAAAATACTTCTACTTTACAAGTCAATTATAAAATGCTTAAAATATATAAATGACCTTTAATTACATGATATTATTTTATAAATTCTCACCAACTATTAAAAGTTACAAAATGATGTCTTAAGAGTTTTGTTTTTATCAAGTTTCCGACTATTAAAAGTTACATAATTATCACATTATTATTCGTATGTTCAAACCTGTCTCTTTATATTAAAAAAGTAATGGTCGTTTGAACTAAACACTAACCAATTGAATGAAATATGATGAAATATGTTAAACATCCGTAAAATTTTCAAGTTAAAAAATTGTTTATACAAAAAATGAAACTCCTTTATTTTTTAAAGAAAACAAATTTACAAACAAATTTACAAACTTAACTAAAATATTTCAATATTTATATGCCCACTTAAGTAATCATTTATCGTACTCGAATGATTCTGAAACGCCCCAACCTGTATTCGACCCGAATACGAGTCTGAGATGTCATATTGACTTTTTAAAACCATTTCCTTACAAAATAATTGAACATTTGAACTTATAATAATAAAATACAATAAAATACTATTAAATTATGCTTCATTATAAAAATCTACATATTTGTGAACAGTAATTATATGTATGAACAATACCGTGAACAATACCATGAACAGTGAAATATTTTGAATATCAATTGTGTATCGATGCACTGCTACAGTAACTTCGGTAAAATATGTATAAATTCATAAAAATCCAAGTTTTCGTTTGTATAAAATTACCGTATACATATACACATTTAAAAACATTACAAAACTCTATCATATGATTTTAACAAAACCGATTAAAACATATTGTATTCAAACTTTTATTTACATGCCAACCACTACCTTATTACAAAATACATACTATTTAATTCTTTTTTGATCTGATCTTTAGAAATGAGAACTGATGTCTTGCATAACTTTTATCAATCTTCCTCTTCTCAAAACCTACGTGTGAAACAATCACATGCTAAGTCGTTGACTTAGTGAGGCATATAAAACATATAAATAAAATAATGCATTTCATATCCATATGAACATATCATCTACTCATTCAATCATGTCACATATGATTCCATGTAATAATAGCATGATAACATGTAATAATGCAAACACTTTTATACCTTTTTGTAAGCCCATGTACATTACTGAGAACTCAAGGTATTCGAGTACATTGAGGTTGTACACTATTGCTGTCACTATAGCTCGTATGGGGTCCCACTAGGGGCTATGAAATTTTATCCCGAAGGACCTATGTACTGTATTTGTCCCGAATGACCACTCCTTAAGAACCATATACATATTCTGTAACAGCCTCAATACCGGGTTAATGACTAAATTGGAAAGTTTCAGATTTTGGGGATTAAAATAGAATGAATGAATAGTATAAAGATTTATATTTAAATGATTGTGTAGGATTGAATTGAAAATAAGAAGGAATATAAGGGCAAAAGAGTCATTTGCAAGGAAAATTAGTTAAAGAAAGGATATATATGAGTACACGTGGGTTGAAAATGAGAGAACACCAAAGGCTTCCAGAGTTCTCTTCTTCTTCTTTCTTCTTTGTGCGTGTGAACCAAAGCAAAGGTAAGTTTTCTGATTGTTGAGTTTCTAGTTAAATTTAAGATTGGGTTGTGATCATTAGATGATAACTAAGATTAAGGAAAGCTTAAGTTATCTTAAAATCAAAAGATAAAGAAGTTATGAGAGATTAAAGATTTGGAGTTCTTGAGTGAAATCTTGAAATAGAGTTTATGATAAGAATTGAAAGTTAAATTTGACTTGTCATCAATCTAGTTAAGACATATGAAGTGTTAGAAGTGGAATTAAAACATGTTGCAAAATTGATGTAATTCTTGAATTATTTATGAAGGATAGGATTTTGAAGTGTAAGATGAAATAAATGAGTATAGATTGGTTTAAGTATGTGTACTGGAATTAAGAATGAAAAAGGGGATGAGACATGAAGGATTTAAGCTAAAATGGATGAATTTTCGAGTTCAAAAAGAGGATTCTGGGCAGAGTGCATCGATGCACATTCAATGTGTATCGATGCATCAAGGTTAAATCTTAGAATTTATTGAAGGTGCATCGATGCATAAGGAGTGCATCGATGCACTCTTTTAAATTAATTGAACATCGAATGCTATTTATACATCGATGCATAAGGAGTGCATCGATGAACCTGCTTAAAATACAAACATCGAATAGGATTTATGCACCGATGCATGGGTAGTGCATCGATGCACCCGTCAAGGGATGCATCGATACATGGTGTAGTGCATCGATGCATACCTTCAATAAGAGATGGAAATAGCTTTCTTTTAGCCTAAGGATTATAGTTTGAAATATATCAATTCGTATGCTGATAAGTATCAATGTATTACTATGTAGATTTAGAGCGTAATCTCATTCCAGAACAATCGAATAATTAGAATCGAATCAAAGCAAGACTAAAGTGAGTACAATTTAAATTGTACTTATGTATCAAATAAACATTGTCTTGCGATGATCCAGTGATAGAATTACTATAGTAAGAAGGGACTTTTAAAGTGTTATTTGAATTGTGATTCTTATGTTTGCATGAGTACATGAAAATGGGTACATATGTTATATGTATTGCATCTGTTACATGAATTGAGTGAATAAATATTAGTGTGATGAGTTATGTGAATTGGTTTAAGTAGTGGATGTAATTATATACGTTATGTAATATAAATATGTGCTATGTGATGATAAGTTATGAGAAAATATTTATATAGGTAACAAGCTACATGAAATTGAATTAAGTAATATATGAAACTAGAATATAATTAATGTGAAATAAGTGATTAGGTAAAACTGTGAGAAGTTATAGGGCATTGTTATTCGAAGTATATGAAAGTATGTATATGGATACCTGTATAAGTTTATATGTTATACTATGTGCTATGTGATGTATATATGAACATATGTGAACAAGATATAACATGCGAGTTTACATGAACAAATGAGGAATGATATAAGTCATATGAAATGATCTACGTGAATATATGCACTTGTGATACATGTGATATGATATGAAATATATGGTTACACATACATATGGTATGTGACAGAAGAGAAAGAACGAGTGATATGGAAAGCATAAATGATAATGCCCATGTTATATGATATGAGAGCTAGTGGTATAGTTGGCATGCCAAGAGTCGAGGGTTACAGTGGTCCTTCGGGACATAGTGGTCCTTCGGGACATATCCAGTGGTCATTCGGGACATAATAGTCTTTCGGGACGAATACTGAACAAATGTTCGGTGCCCTATGAGGGAATTTATACGAGCTGTGGTGACAGCATTAGTGCACAACCTCAATGTACTCACATACCTTAAGTTCTCATAGGTGTATATGGGCTAATAAAAAGACAATAACAAATTTAATACATATGATGTATATGCTTTTGGTGATATGGAATATGTTCCATGAATTATATGATAGTATGTATGTTTAGTTGTGAAATGATATACATAAATGATAAATACAAGATCATATGATAAATAGAGATATCGATAATGATGGTATATGTACATGTATGTATTTTGATATATGAAATGTATTATGATTTCTATTATATGTTTTATATGCCTCACTAAGTCAACGACTTAACGTGTGATTGTTCACACATAGGTACCAAGAAGAGGAAGAATGATAAAAGTTAAGCAAGACAGGTCAGTTCCTCCTTTCCAAATATCAGATCAGAAAAACATTGTATAATATGTATTTTATAATACGAATGGTAGTTGGCATGTAAATAAAGTCTTAAATTTGATATGCTCTAATTAGTTTTGCTAAAATCATATGAATATCTTTTATATAATTTAGTAAGTTGTTTTTAATAAAAGTTTTAAAATTATTCACTATTTTATACAAGTACAGGTTTTGAAAAGTCAATGTGACACCTCGGACTCGTATCTGGGTCGGGTACGGGTTGGGGTGTTACATATTCCAATGGATCAAATATGTCTCAAAAGACCCTGTAAATGTTCCAAAGGATACATATAAGTCTCGAAGGACCACGTAAAACCCTCGACTTTTAGCATGCCAACTATACCACTAGCTCTCATATCATATAACATGGGCATTATTATTTATACATTTCATATCACTTGTTCTTTCTTTTATGTCACATACCACATGTATGTGTAACCATATATTTCATATCATATCACATGTATCATGTATTGCATATTCATATGTCACATAACTCACATGTAGAAATGCACTTACTCTATAGACATGTGCATGTATTCATTTTATTGCTCTTATAATCACATATAATAATAACATATACCTATTTCTATGTACTAATGCACAAATCATAATCACATAACATGTTAGAAGTTACTTCTTACCATAGTAACTCCGTCACTGGCTCATCGCAAGCCAATGTTTGTTCTATAAGCACAAATTAAATTGCACTCACCTTAGCCTTACTTTGATTCGATCCTAATTCTTTGATTGTTCTGGAACTT